ATAACTTGGATACTCTTTTCCCAATGAACCCTACCCTTTTCCTCTGCCCTCTGCACATATCAGGGATCTCCGTTGTCTGTCTAAATGCGCTGGACTGCAATCCTACTTCGTGTATATTGCTCTAGATAAAATATTTTTACTTAGAGATTCATCTCTATGTTTTTGTATGCTGATGAGACTTTCCTTGACAATTTAAGTTGTGATTTTTCCATCACTCTTTCATCTGGCTTTCTTGCCCTGTTGGGGTAGAACTCTTGAAGACTTTCTCACACTCCAGAGCCCATACTTGACACCGGGCAGCTTCAATGCTGTTCACACAGACTTCAACTCTTACCCTCTTTCTCGTCATCGACTTTTTCTTGTAATGAGCCCAGAGATGCCTTTTTGTTGCCTTTTAAGCCTGTTCGATGTGCATTTGACTCAGAGAAGTCACCTCCAAAGCTAATTTGCTTGCAATGCCATAAGAAGACCCAAACACTGTACGATTTCTCTTCTCTTTGCTTCTTTTCCACTTTAGAGCACTGTGTAATGTAGAGGCTAAAGTCAGGGGCAGATGGAAATGTGTGGGCTGGAACACAGGCTCTACACCAGTAGAGTAGCTCAGTAAGTTGGTAAACCTCTTCATGCCTCAGTTTCTCCATCTGTAAAATGGGCATGAGAATAGCATCCACCTCATCTGAGTGCTGCGAAGGAAGTGGCTTGTATAGTGTTTGGCTCACAAGAGCTCATCTGACTTGTGGTCAAATCACTCCTACCATTAACAGGAAGTGTGCTGCCATGTGATGCCAAACTTCCAAGGCAGAAAGGCTCTCTCGGGCTTGGTGCTCCACTCCAGCCAACACACTTTACCTTGTCTGCAGTCCTCAACATGGCTGCCCTCACCCTGCCTTCCCATTCCCAGGTCTAGGATTTGTCACGACTGTGTGGACACTTCTGCTCCCTCTTATTGGTCAACTGGTTGCTCTTGATCTCACTTCAGGTGGAGACCTTCCCAGTCAGCCCTTTTTTGTTTTTTTTGTTTTTTTGCAAATCATTGCCAGGTCTATCTCTGTCTTTCTATGATGCTAGAGGTCATCCTCAGTGTTCCTGGAACAATTCCAAAGCCCACAGGGTGGCCCTGGTCCCAAGGGTCCGACTGCAGTAACCCCAGCTCATCGCAGCTCAAAGCTTTTGAAGCATCCAAACCGTGCCTTGACTCAGCCTCCCGTGTTCACCAAGTTTTTGGACACTCTCTGAAGTCTTACAAAGTCATTTTGTGGTTTTCCTGATACTGAAGTGATTCCTCTTTCTGAACAAACCGTCTTCTGCTCATCAAAACCTTCTCAGGTTCACATCCCTCCTTCTTGGAGACCTTCACCCAACCACACACACCCACCATCACTCTTACTCTGTTCCAGCTTCTGGGAGTCCCAGGCTTTGAGGCCCCCACACAGTGTCATTCACTGATGTGTACCAAAGAAAATTAGTATTTGATGATAATGTGTATAAAAGTAGGTATTTATTTGTATCATTTTAGACCAGCAGTGTCAAAGTCAACGAAACCCGGCGATTGCTCTTATTTTTGCCTTGATCTGTATACACCCCTTCAAAGATTCCTTCAGATACTCTGCTGTGTTCTTTACCATGTGATACATTTAAGGGATTCTAAACTCCCTCTTTTTCGTGGTGGATGCTGATATTATATAACAATCTACTTTTATAAACAGGGGAGAGTAAACTCCCATTCACAGTATGTGTAAGGTATTTTGTTGTTTCATGCCATGGCCCAAGTAGTCACTCGTGAAGGAAGCAGAGAACCTGGCTCTTTTGTTCGTCCAACAAATGGGGACGCAGTGGAGAAGAGATGTGCTCCCTCTGGTACACACTCTTCCTCTTTATTTGATGCCACTTTACACTTTTGGCTCGCTTTTACTTTAAAAATATCCCATCTGGGCATTAAATTCCAATTTCACCAGTCTTGAAGGCTATATTTATAATATGGTTCTATGCCATACTAATATCATATCATAGAATGATTATATTACATAACTATATTATCCTATTTTATAATGTGAGTGCACTGAAGACAGATCAGTCCCTGAGCCTTGACTCTCACGTAAGTGACACAGACACCTCACTCTATCTGCCATGCTTCTTAGACTGAGATCGCATTATCGATTTTGTTTAATTCTTAATCATTCAATTGGAATTTCATCTCTCTTAGCATCAAAAGTAAAGTAAAAACCATGTCATTCACCAAGACAATCTTTTGATGTGCTTATTCAGTGTGGATTTCAACTCTAGAAACTCACACATTCACTTGAATTTGGTCTCTAATTACCTACAGCCACTGTGGAATCCAAAGAGCCCCTGTGATTTGTGACCCAAGGGCTCCGTGTTTTGTAAGCTGAATCGTAACATGGCTGTATTCTGGATACTAAGCTTTTCAGCCAATTTTTAAAAATCAAAAAAGGAGCCAAGCTTGGTGCCCTGGGTCTGTAGTCCCAGGTACGTGGGAGGCTGATGTGGGAGGACCGTCTGAGCCCAGGAGGTGGAGACTGCCATGAGACGTGATTGCTGTGCTCATCCAGAATGTACTGTTTACTGATAGTGTTGCAGTATGAGTGCCAGACAGCTGCTTCTCCACTTTCCTGAATCCACATCTATTGGCATTTGCATACACTCAGCAGCCTCTTCTGCAGCCTAGCAGTTAGTGTAATCTCTGATAGTCACAATAACAAACTGCAAACTTTTAAATACATGTGCAAAGTCTAAAAATAATACATGCACAATTAAAAGTTATAAAAACAAAGAACTTGGAAATCACAGTGCAATGGGACACAGTAAACAATGCGTATATTCAGTCTTTCTTCTCTGTCTCTTGAAAGACAAACAGGTAAATGTAGATATGAGTTTGATATAAAATTAGCCAGGTGAGATGACTCACACCTGTAATCCCAGCACTTTGGGAGGCTGAGGTGGGCAGATTGCTTGAGCCCAGCAGTTTGAGACCAGCCTGAACAACATAATGAAATCTCATCTCTACAAAAAAAATAAAAATAAGAACATTAGCCAAGCGTGGTGGCCTGTGCCTATAGTCCCAGATACTCAGGAGGCTGAGGTGGAAGGATTACCTGAGCCCAGGAGGTCGAGGCTGCCATGATCTGTGATTGTTGTGCTCATGCCACTGCATGCCAGCCTGGGCAACAGAGTAAAACTCTGACTCGAGAAAATAAAAATTAAAAAATTAAAAATTAAATTAAGTGTATAATTCTTCCTACTCTACTGACTTATAGCCAATCTTCAGAACATCTTTGCTCAGTAATTTGAAAACTAACCTCCCTCTCTCCCCCAAAAAACAGCATTATTCTGAAATTCATTATTATTACTAAATTATTAAACTGCAATTATACATTTTAAATAATTCACTTAGAATGGTTCCTTTTCTTCTGCTTTACTTAAATATATTGTGTTACTTTTTTGGTTGCCTTTTCAAATTTATTCTCCAGTCTCATCATTCATTCTGTTTTCCGATTTCAAAATAATATATACCTTCATAGAGGTCTATTATTTTTTATCCTTATTTCTAATAATCTTTAAATTATAAGTTAAACAATGTCTTCTAAGCAATAGCAATGAGTGAATCACTCATTATTAATCCACTATTTTATCTGAATGGTGGGCATTTATATCCATTGTGATATAACTATGCACAATAAATATTATAGTACGTGTAAGAATATTCTAGAATGGTTAACCCTGTGATTATTAGAAGGATTATGTGAAAACATGCCTTAGAATAAACCAAGATAAAATTCTGAATTGCTTGCAATTCCTTTTGCATAATAATTAGACAAGTGTTAGTAAAACTTAATCTCCCTTATTGTGCATCAGAAAAGCTTTCGTATTCAAAGAGTTTTTCTTTTTCTTTTTTTTTGAGTTGGAGTCTCACTCTGTCGCCCAGACTGGAGGGCAGTGGCCGCTCCCGGCCACCGCAGCCTCGACCCACTGGGCTCCGGTGATCCTTCTGCCTCAGCCTTCCGAGTAGCTGGAATTACAGGCACGCGCTACCATGCCCGGCTGATTTTTTGATTTATTGTAGAGATAAGGTCTCGCCAAGTTGCCCAGGCGGGTCTCGAACCCGCAGTCTCAGGCAATCCACTCACCTCAGCCTCCCAAAGGCGCAGGATTACAGGCTGAGCCACGGAGCCCGGCTTCAAAGAGTTTATCATTCGCATTCCGACACATTCCAATGAAGAAATAGGACTTGAAGATGATGACAGGGCCTGTGTGGTGACTGGGAATAAAGTGAGATGCTCAGGGAATTGCAAGGAGTTCAGCAGAACTGGAGGGAAACCCAAAAGACTTGAGCCTGGCTTCACTGTGGGAACTTTTCCTTTGGTGAATACTTTTCACCCACACTTGCCCCACCTCCTCCTTCCCTGATAATTGCAACATGTTGTCTGTCCAATTTAGGGGTCTTCTGTTCCTAATATGGCTCTCCTATATGACTGTTAGTGCTCATACCAGTCATCTAGCCTGGAGGGGCAAAATATCTGTCTTACTTGCATGCACTTAAAAGCAGCAATACCTTCATGGGAAGAAATATACACGGAAGAAGATGTTGGGGAGGTGATCAAGGAATCAAGACCGTAAGACATTGTGCAGTTCTGAAAAGGGAGGCTTCCTATGCAGAGATAAGAACAGTAGGGACCTTTCTGAGAAACAGGTGAGCTATGGATCTTTCCCTTAAAAAATGCATGACCTGCACACTCACACACACCACTAATGAACATGCAGAATTTACTTTAAATTGAGAGGTTGTATGTGCTTTCCAAAAACCAAGTTTAGGATCCCTGCACCAGGAACAAATGTCTTCCAGATCTAACACCCCCACTCTGAATATCAGAGAGAAAATAGTCTGGGGAGAGAGAGGGAGAGAAAGAAAAAGAGAAAGATTAGAGTCTGAGGGACTGTAGCAAAAGATACAACATTGATGTCATTGGAACCCTAGAGGAAGAGGAGCAAGAGGAAGAGGAGCAAGAGAAAGAGAATAAAGAGCTCACAAGGAAATATTGGCTGAAAACATCCCAAATTTATGGAGAGACATAAATCCACAGATTTATAAGGCTGAGGAAATCCCAAATAGGATAAACCTAAAGAGATCCACACCAGGACACATCATAATTAAACATACGAAAACCAAAGACAAAGAGAAACATCTTGAAAATAGTAAGCAAGAAATGCCCCCTTATCTATAGAGACATAGACACAACTCGGAGGACCCTCCAGAAAATTATACTAAGAAAAAGGGAACATCCCCAGAGGTCACATACTGTACAATTCCATTTTTTTCCCATTCCTAAAATTAGAAAATTGGAAAACTGGAGAATGTGTTAGTTGTCTCTAGTGTTTAGGAAGGATTAGAGGTTGGGAGGGAAATTTTGTGGCTATAAAAACACAAGATAAGGAATGTTTGTGCTGATGAAAATGTCCTGTATTTAACTGCATCAATGTCAATATCCTGGTTATTGATATTGATATAATTTAGCAAGGTTTTAATAGTGGGAGAAACCTCTAAACCGTACATGGTATTTGTGTTATTTCTTACTACTGAATGTTAACTTACATTCATCTCAAAATGATATGATGAAGAAATAAACATGTCTGTTTGATATGTGCAAATAAATGCGATTAAGAACTTTTTATTCTTCAAAGAGCTGTCTTAAGTGTTGTATTAAGGACAAAGTTTACAGAAGCTTGGAATGAAATCGAATTTTGCTGTTTAGGTAAATTTATTTCAAATCTTCTCTCTAGAATAGCTATAGACACACATACAATCTTTTGTGGCCACTTACATTTTGCATTCATTTTTCTTGTATTGATTTTCTGTGTCTCACACAAAGATCTAATAAATCAATCAGGTTAAAATAAATTCATATCACTGGAAATTATAAGTAAAATAAAAGGGCAGTACATAATACTTCCATAGAATAAACTTGTATTTGTTCAAGAATAGCCCTGCTAAAATTATGATGGATTTGCACACAGAAATCTGAAAAAATTATTATTTGAAGCTATAGCTAGAAGCAGAATATTGAACATTGTTATGTATAGTTTCCTATTCACAGATGCATTCCTTGAATTTACACTGTGATTTTGAATTAGACTTAGACCCTGAATCACGGTCTAAAGGAAGAAGCTTAGAACCATCTCAGTTGTGACAGAACATGTGGCAGGTAGGAGAAGGGATGGCCTGTGTTTGGAAGTCTAGCAACTGTTTCACTTTATGGTGGGTGATGCTGGTGTAGCAGGAGGCCCCAAAGGCCCGGGAATGGGAGGCCAAGACATCTTCCCCAGAGGTCGTGGCCATGGTTGGGTCAGGTCAAGGCTGAGGACAGGAACTAGATGCCCGGCACCAGGGGTCCCAGCCTGGTCAAGGACACGAAGATCAAGTCACTGGAGGAGATCTGTCTCTTCTTCCTGCTCATCTAGGAGTCTGAGATCATTGAGTCCTTTCTAAGAGCATGTCTGAAGGATGAGACCTTGAAGATGATGTCATTGCAAAAGCAGACCCGCGCTGGCCCGGGGACCAGGTTCAAGGCATTGGTTGCCATGGGGGACTACAATGGCCACATTGGTCTGAGTGTGAAGTGCTCCAAGGGAGTAGCCACTACCATCCCAGGGACCATGATCTTGGTCAAGATCCTCTATGTTCCTGTGCGGAGAATCTACTTGGGGACAAGATGGGCAAGCCCCACACCATCCCTTGCAAGGGACCGGCTGCTGCACCTATGTGAAGGTGCACCTTATCCCTGCCCACTGAGGCACTGGCATCGTCTCGATCTGGGCCCAAGAAGCTGCTGATGGTGGCTGGCACTGACAACTGCTACACCTCCCTTCAGCCAGGGCTGCACTGGGCAACTTCACCAAGGCCACCTTTGATGCCATCTCTGAGACCTACAGTTATTTGACCCCTGACCTCTGGAAAGAGACTGTATTCACCAATTCTCCCTATCAGGAATTCATCAACCATCTTGTCAAGACCCACGCTAGAGTCTCTGAGCAGGGGACACAGGCTTCAGCTGTGGCCACAACATAGGGTTTTTACACAAGAAAAATAAAGTGAATCAAGCCTGTCAAAAAATAAAATAAAATTTATTAAAGGCCATTTGTAGCTTAAAAATGATATAAAATACTTAAAGGTTAATTTTATTTTCATTTACTATACAACTAGGTTGCTGAAACTTAAAATTTAATTGATATCTATCTTAATTATGGCTCTTCCAACTCTTTTTGATTACACCCTTCAGGAATATTCACAGTGATGTTTTATGGGATATCGACTTATAAATTTAAGTCTATAATATACCAGTGGCTTTATACAATAGAAGTATCAGTTGCATCAATATATATTTTTATTGATTTGAACCATGTCTAATGAATTACTTGGCACTAGGAATATTATTTTTCCCCCAATAATTTTTTTCCACCATTGTTGGATTAAGTCTTCAAATTTGTACGTTGCTCCTTTGAATACTATCATAAATGATAGCAGGAAAAGTTAGGAAGTTTGTTTAATTTCTTTAGATGTTCGTCTACCCTTCAATTGAGACCTTTGTTGTGAAGAAATCTAACTAGTGTTATTGCAATAAAAAGTCATTTATATTTGTTATTTCAGTTAGCGGAGAAATTGTGTTGGTTCTGCCTATGAGCTAAATCTCCTGTGCTGTGTTTGCATTATTATTGTTATTTGTCTGAATATTATTTTGTCTTTGTTTATTTTCTCTAACAGCACCATTTATTGAAAGACAAAAATGGGAGGTGTCTTTCAGTTCATCTCTGCTCTTTAGAAAAAAATACAGTGATATTGCCCTTATCTTTCTCTGGTTTTATAGTTACTATTTTGACCAAAACAAAGGTATTGCAAGTGTCAAGGTACTGCAGTTGCATGTATTTTAGCAAATTTTCTTTATTCAGTTTCTTCCTCAGTTTTAACGGTTCTCTAAGACCACCCACATACATCTGTCATTCATTATGCAGCCCGGTGCCCTCTCCCATATAGTGACTGAACCTGGCACTGGGTTTGATGCTGCTTAGACTGACCTACTAGATCTTTGTTTTCTATTGGAAACACCTAGCTCGAATTGTAGTGCTTTTCAGGATAAAGAACTTCCAACTGGGGCTTAATGACTACAGGATGGCATTAGTTATCTCAGGAAGAACTACAATAATAATTCATTTTAACATCCTAAGTAGATTGCAATAAAAAGTCTGACTGACTCCATTTTTGGGGTTTGTCCACGTCTTTCAAGCTTCTTCCCCTCTTGCCCCATATCTGTTTAAGTCAATAAAAAGCTCAAGTGTTCCCTGAGTGGTGGGAAGTTCAAACCATACAAGCTAGCTTGACCCACAAGCAGGAGTCTCAAACTGACCCTTCACTACAGGGAAGCTGTAGCTCTCCCAAGCCATATTTAGATCTGCTTGGCAAACTCCTGCTCCTCGCAGAAGGCCTCATTATTTCAGCAATAATTCCTTTTTATATCCTCTTGGTATATGTCTTTGGAATTACTTTTTCAACATCTGAATCATATTTTGGGTTGAGGGGTTCTTTCTGCCTTTCTGAGATGACTATACCCTATACGATTTACTGTCACACATGTTATTTATGGACATGTCATAAATCTTTTATAACCATGTCATGAAAATATCACAAAACTATATAAATTACTGTATATACGTTAAAACATTGTAAATTGCCCATCTCTGTTGTCTTCCCATGTGTAAAAGACAACCCTTCATTTAGTGTGTGCACTTTTCATGACTCCTGGCCTCCGCATCCTTCTCTAAATATTACAGTTCCATTGTCTATTATGATCTAACAAGCTTCGCTCATGTATTTGCTGTTACATCAATTTCTGAGCTCTCTGTGGTTTCTCTTGTTGCCTTTGGTACCTGTTTCACCACCTTGTTTATGGCTCTTTGCTCTCAAGCACACCTACAACCGATCACCCACACTTGACTGCTGTATTCTGTCCTTATTTGGTATAAATTACTGAACATATGAACAACACTAGCCAGCATTTCTTACCATTTAAGTGTAACTTCTGCAGACAGCAGGTAAACCCTAAGTGTTATTAGAATAAAAAATTCTAAGCTTGCCTCTAAACTTGTCCAGCTACTGTGTTTCCACAGACTATGCAAACCCAATTTTTTTGTAACTGTTAACACTTCATCTTTACTAATTCAATTTGTTTGTTAAAGATGTAATTGAATTAATAAATGTTGTACCATTTCTAAATCCCTCTCCCTATTACTGCTATCTAAAGACAGATGGAGAAAAGTAGACGTTATATAGTTTGGTGGACACGTCAGTGGGGGCTCCATCAAGAAAAGAACTTTCTGACACCGACAGCCTGTGTACTTGAAGGCAGCTGATAAGAAGAGACTCGTGCTTAATTATCACAAAATAAAGACGAACACCAAGAGAAATATTCATACTATGAATTTAATAATAACTTATTGGTTACATGAGATCTCAGTTTACATAATTCAAACCTGCTAAAACTTTTCTAAATCTTTAAATAATGTGTGTCCTTGGGATTTTAGCCTGTCTCACTGGTTGTTATGAGAAAAAAAAAAATCTGGGATTTTAAAAAACATATTGCTTCACTTCAAAGCATACAATAAGAAAATTAAGTAACCAATGTGTTACTCTAAAATGTCAAGTAGACTTTAGACATAATATATGATGTTTGTATTGGTAACTGTAATTTTGAAAAGTGTACTGAATATCTTAAAATAAAATGTCATGGCATAGTAGATAAATTTCAGAACAGTTCTTCTTTCAAATTTAACTACGAGGGGAAAGGCCCAGCATCGACCTCAGCTTCCTAGGAATGCTAATCTTAATACCCTACTTAAAGATATTGCTGGAAGCCAAGTCAATGTACTTCATTATAGAGGAAGGAGGGCAAGTCCCCGGGAAGACATCATAAAATATGTGACATATGCAAGGAAGCAAATATGAAATGACCACTGGGTACATTCTTTAAGCTCTGACTGATGAGTAATAGCCTATATATCATCATTTAAATTAGAAATACAAATTGTTGGAATCAGACTTACTTATCACAGGTTCTAAGTTAATACTTACCAATCCATTAATTTTCCTGTAATATGGCATAATCAGCACACTTGAAAGATGTGATTGCTATATAAATATTTAACTAATCACTATGACCTTGAATTTAGCAAAATGCTCTTAAGCTAAATATTCAGAAGCAGATATTGGTTCCATCCTTGGTGAGACTTTCAGGAACATCCTTTCCATCCCAGAGGAAAAAGGTTCAAATATGTTGAGAAGCATTTGGTCCTGAATTGAGAATTCACCATTGCCCATGAGAAGCTGTGGTAGATTTCTAGGGATGCTATAACAAATTGCCACACATTGTGTGACTTACAAAACAGAAAAGTATTGTCTCACCATTCTGGAGGTTATAAGTCAGAGATCAAGCAGCTGGCAGGGCTGTTTTCCTCTAAGGACTGTGAGGTAAGGCTCGATTCCAGGCCATCTCCTTGTGTGTTTCCACACAATCTTTTCTCTATAAGAGACTGTCTTTGTGTCCAAATTTCTACCTTTATAAGGACATCAGTTATGTCAAATTAGGGTCCACCCAAATGATGTCATCTCACTTTTATTATCTCTGTAAAGACCCTATCTCTAAATAAGGTCACGTTCACGGGTATTAAGGGTTAGAACTTCAACCTATGAAGAGTAAAGAACATAATCCACCCAATTCAGTGTCTACAAAGTAACCACAATTCTCCCTTTTCTGAAGAGACTATAACTGTCTGTACTTCTATACGAAATATATGAGAATTTGACGATAATGGTCTTCATGCATATGCCAGGATAGCTTTTGCCTTATAACTATTGTCTTTTCCCCACTGGGGAAAAATTTTTATTTTATTTTTTTGAGGTGGAGTCTCACTCCACTGCCCAGGCTGGAGTACAGTGGCACACTCATGACCATCCCAGCTTTGACTTGCTGGACCCGGCAATCCTTCCACCTCAGCCCTTCAAGTAGCTGGAACTACAGGCACAGGCTACCAGGCTCAACTAATTTTTTGATTTATTGTAGAACTGAGGTCTTATCAAGTTGCCTGGGCTGGTCTCGAACTGGAGGGCTCAGGCAATCCACTTGCCTCGGCCTCTCAAAGTGCTGGGATTATAGGCTGAGCCATCGAACCCGGCCCGCACTGGTGCTTTATCTGACGAGACAATATTTAGTAAATAGTTCATTAGTCCATGACCAAATATGCAAATGAAGAAGTAAATTAGTGAAGAGAACTGGTCTACTTGGGGTCTGTACATTGAGGACATAGGAAAGCCTTCACAGTCTAAAGTTGCTATCATCTGGGATGCCCTGGGACAGCGCTGCATTAACCAAGTTGGTCCAAAGCAACAGGCTACCACGAGAGTCCCTGGAACCATGGGTGCTACCACCAATATTTGTGTTATGGAGGAATACATTTGCCGAGCTCATGTTGTGGTTGGGGTTATTATAACCATATTCAGATTTAATCAGAGTGGATGACTTTTAGACCCGAGATTAAAAATGTAGATTCAGACAGAGAAGAAACAACTTAAAAAATTACCTGCACCTTTGATTGGCTCTTCTTTTGACAAGTCTTTGACACTTTGTCTGTTTCCAACAACAACTGGAATATTAAATATAATTGAAATGAAGGCCCTGATCTGTTCGGGGCGTGTTGAAAGAACATATGGCTGTCATTGTATTCAGAATATCAAGAATATTTGTTATCAAGTTCCTTTTGTGTTTAAAACAAAAATAAATGCAGGCAGAGGTTTTCTCCACAATTTTATATTAGACTTGATATAGAATGACAGCTAGATCATGTTAAATTCAGTCAATGGCTAGTCAGCTTGAAAATCCAAAACTTTGAATTCAATAAAATGAGGATATTCTTCCAGAGAAAACTTATCTTTCATAAATGCATGCACAATACATAAATTGCATCCATAGTAAAATACTCGGGATAATGCAGATGTATAGTCTATACAGTTTGGTTAAGGACTATTTAGAATATAAATTTTATTTTGTAATATTTGCAAA